ATGAGACAGAACTCATAGTGCTCTGAATGTGATGGTAAAGTTTTCTTACATTTCTAGTATACCTAACTCATGAGGCTGTTTCTTACAAAAACACAATTGCAAACTGAGCAAGGAGACACACACAAAATAGAGAAGCAATAGAGGAAAAATAACGCATAATTTCACTCGTCAGAGGTAAAATTTGGGGATCGTTTACCTCAGACTTTCTGTGTGTATTTGTCAAGATAGATCAGATGGCACGCTACAGTGCTCTATTTTTGAGGAACTTTTGTGTTCTAAAAATGTGCATGTTTAGTAAGTAGTGGGCTTGAGTAGATCTGATCTGATTAACCTATAGGACTTAGCAGAGTCTTTCTTTTACTTCAAGCCAGGCTGACACTGTAAAAAGTTCACTGATCAGCGTTTTTGTTTGTTTATACTGGTTTGCTTCAACTGCTTTTTAATTGGTCATTCTTTGTGTCCTCTTAGTAAATTTCCCCTAAGAAATAGTGCTATCCCTGTAGCTTGACTTGCCGTCACGTGGAAAAATGTAAAAACCTCGGGAGGATTGCCTTATTTTTAGTATTTGCCAAATATTTTTGCCTTTCTTCTTTTGTATTTGGATGAGCAGGTTTATGAATTTTCTTTGGGGCTACCCCATGATTTCTTATCTTCTTCCCGAGTTTAGAAGAGTCTGTTCTCTCTCTCAGTTGTCTTTACTTCCTCTCCATTTGAAAGGTCTGAACCTACACTGTTTATTCCCTCTTTTTGGTTTGTAGCTGTCCTCATTTACCACTTGATGTCTCTGCTTCCCTGGTGACAGTCTACTAAGTTTATTTTACTTTGGATAATTCTGTGATGGGGTTGGTTCTCGGTGATTTCGTCATGTGTGTCAATCATCAGTTATTACGTGCTGCTGTTGGTTCTCTGAACGGTCCCTTTAGCATCTCTTAAAAAGTTGATCTGATTTTAACAAACTCCCTTACTTTCTGTTTATCTGGAAATGTCCTAATTTGACCATATTTGAGGGATAGTTTTGTGGGTATGTAGTTCTTGGTTGGCAGTTTTTTCTTTCAGGGTTTTGTATACATCATCCGATTGCCTTCTTACCTGCGTGGTTTCTGCCAAGACGTCAGAGTTTGGTCTTCACTGCCCTTTGTAGTAGGTAACTTTTTATCCCTGTGCCACTTTGAGGATTCTTCCTTTGGTTTTAGTAAGTCTGATTATAATAAATCTTTTTTTTTTTTTTTTAAATTTTATTTTGATTTGGGTGAAGATTTACAGAGTAAATTCACTTTTCATACAGCAGTTCACATAATATACTTTGTTTCATGTCATTGACCAAAATTTACAATGCCACAGCTCTCCTCCCACTTCCTCCCCATAGTTACCTCCTCCCAGTGTCCATCCCTCCATACTCTTCTGCGCCCTGAGCTGTCTCCCTGTGCATAATCCTTCTCCCATGATTGTTCTCTCCAGGGCATGTGTCTACTTGAGGTAAATGTTTAATTCACATGCCTGTACTTTGTTTGGCTGGAAACCACAGGTGTGGCTTCAATTCTAGACCTGCAGGGCAGCTAGGGGCCATAGTCTCAGTGGTTCCATCAGGCTCTATTGGACTGATTTTAATAAATCTTGGTGATTTTCTTTTGGGGTCTATCCTGTTTGAGGTTTGTTGAACTTCTTGAATGGGCCTCTTCTCGTCTTTTGTCATACTAGGCATTCTAACAAATCTTTGACACTTTTCTCTGTGATTTTATTTGTCTCTTCCTGTTCTAGAATTGTGGTATTCCTCTAGATGGTGTACCACATGAATCTTACTTTGTTTTGATTTATTTTTCTTACCTCTTAACAAAGTAATATTGAGGTTTGTCTTCAATCTGTCTAATTCTATCTTCCACTGATCTCATTCTACTCCTTTGCTCTTTTAATGTGTTTTCTACTTCCACAATCTTAGTAATAATCTGGATTTCTGTTTGCTCTTTTTGTATGCTGCCTAATTTTTCATTTATTTCCTCAGTTTGTTCTTGTATGCTCTCCTGGATTGTTCCAGGGTTTTGTCCAATGCCAGTTCTTCCTCCTGGAGGTTTTCTGGTTCTTTATCCTGGACCCTTGTTTGTACTCCTTTACCTTGTTTATTTGTGTGATCTAGGATGGTCAATTGTCCAAGACTTTGCAATATCATTGTATTTGTATTTATTTGGTGATTGCATGTTGCTGGTGTGATTTGCCCAGTTTTTTTCTTTTTTTGCTTTATTTTGTTTTGATATGTCCACGTGAACAGAGCTCTTGTGCTACTCTATTGTAGTTTGGCAGCACTTAGGCACTCACCACCTGTCTTCTCTTGGGTACAGTAAAGGTTGAGAATGTGTACGCAGGTCTCTGTTAGCTGTTTGTGTAGAGCAATTGAGGGTGAGCAGGCTGGTATTGGCTGCCGTCTGTTGTTGATCAGTTGGTGCAGAAGCAAGTGGAGGTCCTCACCTGGTGGGTGGGCTATAAGGAGGTGCAAGTGTGGTTGTGTTTTGCAGGCAGAATTGCTTACTAGTCGCCAGCCATCTGTGTGGTTGCCTGTGCAGTTCTTGGCACATAGAGCCAATTCTTAGATTGCTTCCCAGATCAGAGTGCCACTTGCAAAAAGTCAAAATGGCTGAGCCATCAGGACAGCTGACAGTCCCCAGCTCCGTTTGTCTCCTTATTCACTGTTTTCCTTTGAGTTCTTCTTCTGTCAGTATTGAATCCACTTCTTTAACGTTCCTTTCAAAGCTCAGGGTTCCAGGATTATATTCTGCATTTGTTTCAGTTGGTTTCTTATTTATTTGTTGTAGAGGGTCTGTGTAGCTTCTGTGCCTGTTCTGTCATCTAGCTGGAGGTCCGGTTGTCTTACTTTTTAAAAGCTCCTTTGAAGAAGTAATTCTGATTCTGTGTTCACCCTACTTGTCTTTTAAAAAACTACTAAACTCTACAGTAATGATGCTTACATTAATAAAATTAGTGGCTGGTAGTTCTTTGCAGTAATTGATGCTAAGCAAGAATCAAAATACGATTCCATTTTAGGCACTGGATGGTTTCCTCTTTGTGGTGAATCGAGACGGAAACATTGTATTTGTGTCAGAAAATGTCACACAATACCTGCAGTATAAACAAGAGGACCTGGTCAACACAAGTGTCTACAGTATCTTACATGAGGAAGACAGAAAGGATTTTCTTAAAAACTTGCCAAAATCCACAGGTAGACTTTTAGTGTGTGTTTTCTAAAAGTGTTGTTTAAAATTTTTCCTTGACTGTATCTTAGAAAATTGAATACATCTCTTTTTGTAAGCCAAGTGATCAAACTTGGCAAGGCAGGCTTTCTATTTTTGGAAAGGCAGTGGCAAAATTTTCAAGTATGCCTCGTGAATTCAGAATTTGATATGCATTCCATGGGGCCAAAATACACAGTGAGTTAGTGAGATTTCTGTTGAAGTTGAAATTATTCCAATATTTTGTATATTGTTCCTCTGAAATGTTAGTGTAGCTCATACTATGGTAAATACATGTAATGAGCAAATATTACTTAAATTTTGATGATGGTCATAGCCTGAATTGCCAGTTTTTAAAAACAACGACGACAACAAAAACCCACACAACTCTTAATTTGTTTTCCAAAGTTAACGGAGTTGCCTGGACAAATGAGACGCAGAGGCAAAAAAGCCATACGTTTAATTGCCGCATGTTGATGAAAACACAACATGACGTTCTGGAAGACGTAAGTGCCAGCCCTGACGTACGCCAGCGATATGAGACGATGCAGTGCTTTGCCCTGTCCCAGCCACGAGCTATGATGGAGGAAGGGGAAGGTAAGAGCAGCACACCTTTGTGATGTTTCTGAGACAAGTAGCTGACAAGCTTGGCCTTCTACAATTTCCATTGTTGAAATTCTCCTTCGTGAATTCCATGGCCTCACTAGCCTATTAAATGGACATATCTGGAAGGTCAGTGTGGTTCTTATCTGGCTCAATTTTTTATTGTAGATTTGCAGTCCTGTATGATCTGCGTGGCCCGCCGCATTACTACAGGAGAAAGAGCGTTTCCATCGAATCCCGAGAGCTTCATTACCAGACACGATCTTTCAGGTAAGAACTTGGTGGGCTTCTTTTTCGATTTTTTTAAAAATAAATGTCACTGTTTTACTGCCTGTACTGTCATTTGATTTCTTATATGTGTGGTAATGAATGCTTTGCATGTCCCCCCCCCCCTTTTTTTTTTTTACAACCTAAGAGAGATTCATGAGTTGGGAATATTTGACATGTAAAAGTCCCCATATAAGTATATTTGAAAGTGAATATAGAGGCACCTGGGAGCTCTGGTAGCATAGTGGCTAAGGCACTTGACTGCTAACCAGAAGGCTGGCGGTTCAAACCCACCAGCCACTCCTTGGAAGGAAGATGGGGCAATCTACTTCCGTAGTGATACTGCCTCAGAAACCCAAGGAGGAGTCGCTGTGAGTCGAGTCCGACTTGACGGCATACGACAACAGCAACAACAACATAGAGGCACCTGGTTCTCTCTCCAACAAGCATGTTAGATCAGAATCTAAATCTAGTATTTCTTTTCTGTAACTTCAAACTCATTTATCTTAAAGAAACGATTTTTAAAAAAAAAAAAAACAATTTAATGAGAATTACAGGAAGTAACTGCTGACAGCAGCATGAGCTTCAGTGGTGATTTTTTATTTTGTGATTGTGGGAATAAATAAAGAAAGACAGTGGGCAGTTGATAAGGCATACTGATCTCATGGCAATATCATCTATACAAGCTTTCAGCACTGCTTGTTAGCATCTGAAACCGCGCATGATAAGATACAGAAAGATTTTCTGTATCTTTCTGTCTTGAATCAGTTTATTGACCACTTAGTTTAAGTCACGTCCCTGCTTGTCTAGGGTTATGATCTTCACCCCTTGTGGATGCCACAGGTGGGGAAATAGGCTCGGTCAGAGAGGATTGGGTTACTTGTTCAAGATCATGGCTAATAAGATCTGGGCCTGGCTGACTTTAAAGCCTGTGCTCTTTGCTCTGTATAACGTGAGAATTTTACACTAGTGTCCTTTGAACACTCAGTAAATGATTTGATAAAATGAAACAGCTATAAATAAACACAAAGTATAGCAATAGCTGGTGTAATATTTTATTGTGAAAAGTAGCTGTTTTTGCAGTCACTTAACTTTTGGTACCAAGCTCAGTTACCTCTCTTGAGGCTGCTTGAGATTAATTTGCACAGATTTTGCATCGTCAGTTTGTTTACGTCGATGGATGTATTTTATATTGGAAAAGTTTCTCTTTATTTAGTCACTTTGAGAAAAGTATGGTGACAGGACTATTTGTGTATCATCTTTTTAGATAAGCATTTTTTGGGGCCTTGTAATTTGGTAGTCTTAATGTTCTGTGTAAATCCTTGACATTTTCTCATCGAAGTTACTAAATAAAAATACTCACCTAAGCAGTTTAACAAGATAGCATCTTTAAAAACTATCTCACTAATACTTTTTCTTATTACAAAAGCAATACATGTCTGTTTTTGCTCGGTATTTTCTTTTTTAAATAAGTAATCAGGTGTATTTTTCTGGTTAACATCATTTGAAACAGAGAACTCTCTTACCATAGTTACAGTTAGTATCTTCCCATTTGCTTTCTGTATCTTCCCATTTGCTTTCTGTTAGAGGAGGTTTGTTACATTCAGCTCAGCACTTTTCTTGGCGTTTGGGAAGAGGTTGTGCAGTCTGTCTCTGATGTGTTTGCCTGTTCTTCACTCCCTGTACTTTTTCTGAGCGTCTGTTTTGCTACGTTTGCTACGTAGCTCAGGGCTAAGCTCAGTGGAGGTAGCCGGGAAGAAGTCCTCCCTGTTCTGGCCACACCATCCATGTGCGCTCTTTACTGGAACACATTTGTCCTTCTCTTTAGCCGTTGTTTTGTCATTGGTCAGGCTGCTTTGTCACTATTAAAAGTCTGAATTTGAAACAGACTCTTGGACTGATGGTTCTTTTCCATCAACTCATTCAACTTTGTACCTGTCTCATCCTTAGTACCTTTTCCAGAACTGCCTTTACTGTGGAGTTCTGTGGGTTTTTCTGATCTCTACTTGGTCGTCTTGGGCATTTTTGTTTTTCTGAGGAATACATCATGGGGAAGTTAATAGACTGACAAGGCTTTTCTGTGTCTTTCTGTCTTGAATCAATTTATCGGCCACTTATTTCAAGTCACGTGCCTGCGGTTCTAGGGTTCTGATCTTCATCACCTTGTGGATTTAGTGGACCTGTTGGTGCTGAGTGTAGTGACCATTTGAATCTGAGAGTTGCATTTTTACATTAAGCCCCCACAGAAAAGATGGAACAACCATTAAAACCCAGCACCATCGAGTTGATTCCGACTCATAGCAATCCTGTGGAACAGAGGAGAACTGCCCCATTGGGTTTCCAAGGCTGTAAATCTTAATGGAAGCAGATTGCCTCATCTTTCTCCCGTGGAGCAGCTAGTGGGTTCAAACTGCTAACCTTTTGGTTAGCAGCCAAATGCCTTAACCACTGCACCACCAGAGATAACAATTCAAACCAAACTTGCTGCCGTCGAGACGGATCTGACTCTTAGCGACCTGTCCTTGGGTTTCTGAGGTGGTATCTCTATGGTGGTGGGTTGTGGGCAATCTTCTTTCCGATGAGTGGCTGGTGTTTGAACTGCCAACCTTCTGGTTAGCAGTCAAATGCCTTAGGCACTGTGCCACCAGAGATAAACACTGGTAGTCTCAAAATGAACATGATGAATGTCAATCCTTGTCTGCCATTTTTTGACCATAGAGCACTGAAGGCTGATGGTTCAAGCCCACCAGCCACTCCTCAGAAGGAAGATCAATTTACTTCCATACTGACTGCCTCGGAAACCCAAGGAGGGGTTGCTATGAGTCAAATTCAACTTGATGCAGTGAGGGCTTTTTTTAAAGACCATGCCATAGAAATGTTTTCTCTGAATATTTCTATTAATTCCTTTGCATTTTTCAAATGCAACTTCATTGTTCTGCACATCAGCAATGCTCGCTTCAAAACAAAGTTTTTGAGACCTTCCAGTGCAGTTTTGGTTCCTTGGGACCTGTGTTTTCCTGATGTTTCTTAAGTTGAACGTAGCTGGTGCTTTCACATCATTACCCTTCTTTCTTGGGAAATGGGTCGAGCACTTTCTTCTGCTCCCTTATTGCTAGTTTCCTTCAGACCCACTGTGGGCTGCTCAGAGAGCAAAAAAGGCCTGGCTGTCATAGAACCCTCAATTTCATAGCAATTTTGAGCATGCATATTTGGTCTTTCCAGTATAGTTGATGTGAAGAAAAAGTTGGCAGAAACTTGCAGAATTTGGAATTGAGTAGTTGCTTAGCCTTCCCAGTTTAGATTTTTAAGTGTAAAAAAATGTAGTCACCTCCAATGGAAAGAACTATCTTGCTAGCGCTGTTGAGTTGTTTCTCTTGCTTCATAGTTGCAAGGACAGCATATTTTAGATAAGCAATTTTACTGGAAGGTGTTACTTTATATTTTCTTTTTAAATGAAAATGAAGCCTAGTATTGTCTGGACAGGTTATACTCTACATGTTCTTAAAGTAAAAGGAGTTCTGCGATACACTTTCTGTTCTGTTCAGCAGAATGTGTAGCTGTAAGAGTGCCCTGCAGAATGATAGCCTTAAAGAGAAGAGCTCTCGATCTACCGGAAAGGTGGGTCAGGGAAGGCAGGACAGTGATGGAGTGTCTTTTATTTCAGTCTTTAGTACTTAGCCACACAGGTGACAACCAACAAATATTTCTGGGTTTGATTTTAAATCTTTGCTTTCTGGTTAATAGGAAAAGTTGTCAATATAGATACAAATTCTCTGAGATCCTCCATGAGGCCTGGGTTTGAAGATATCATCCGAAGGTGTATCCAGAGGTTTTTCAGTCTCAATGATGGTCAGTCATGGTCCCAGAAACGTCACTATCAAGAAGGTAACAGTTTTGGAATGGACTGGTGATCTTGTCTGCCATTTTTTTTGGTATGCTATAAAACTCTAACTAATACACATGGTAACAGTTGTCATTGGAGGGGAGGTGGTGCAAAAAGGGCAAGGAGGCCACATGTTCTGACCTCCTCTAATCCCACAAGAGGAAGACAGGATTACCAGCAGTAACCCAAGGCCTATTCCTACAAGGCCAGGCATGCTGCCTTCCTCCAGCCCTTTGACCAACCGTTCTTTCCAAGCACCCACCACCTCTCTCTTGGGTTTGATAATTTGCTGCAGTAGCCACACAGAGCTCACAGATTATGGGGTCATTAGGGAAGCACCACAGGCTACAATTCAAGTTCAGAAAAAATGCTCAGTCTCTCTCCCAGCCCACCGTCTCTCAGCCAAGTCTCTCACAGTCTCTCCCCCAGCAGTGCTGGTCCCTCGGTAT